AATGCGATGATTATTCATCTCGTCTTGAGCAGAGTGGATCCGGTGACCAAAGAGAAATGGGAAGAACAGCTCGATTATGACAAACTGCCACTTTGGACGGACTGTGAAAAGTTGCTTAATCGCAGACATCAGCATCTTTCGGCCGAAAATTCGGACAAACCAAAGCAGGAGCAGAAAGCTGTGCCAAGCAAGCCGCATAATCGGAGCTCATTCGCGTGTTCCACCGCGAATACCAAAAATCAACAATGCAGCTACTGCAATGCGAAAGGCCATTTGTTGACAGATTGCAGTCCATTTGGTCGGCTAGCAGTAATGCAAAGGTTCGAATTTGCAAAAACTGCATCCTTGTGCATCAATTGTCTGCAGCCAGGCCACTCTGTAGTACGATGCAAAGCTAAGAAGTGTCGAGTGTGTGGCTGCTCACACCATACCTTATTGCATAGGTACACAGTGGCGAATAAAAGTCTAGCGTTACCATCACCCCCAGAGAATTCTTCTCCTCCTCCCAATCAGAATCAACCTTCCACTTCGCATGCTCTCCATGCGACAGCTATGGATAGAGTTATTCTGGCTACGTCGATCGTAAGCGTCCGAACAAATAATGGTGAACATGTTTTGGCCCGAGCTCTGCTTGACTCGGGGTCTCAAACCAATTTTATAACTGAGGACTTAGCACAGCGCTTACAGATCCGTAGGGAGGAGTCGTGTATCAACTTGCTTGGTATTGGTGAATCCAATTCACAAGTCAAGAAAAAGATACACACGGTGGTGAAGTCGCGAATTACTGGTAGTGAGTTTTCGGTTGATTTCTGGATTCTAAGGTCCATTTCGGGGTATCACCCTGATCAGACACTTAACGTGAGTGACTGGAAAATCCCGAAGAACTTATCACTTGCAGACCCATATTTCTTCAAGCCACAGAAGATAGATATGTTGATAGGTGCAGAAACATTTTTCGAACTTCTATCTGTTGGTCAGATTCGACAAGGTCCTGACTATCCAACTCTGCAGAAAACGCTTCTCGGCTGGATTGTGTCGGGCAGATACACTCCAAAGGTGACTGCCACCCAAGAAGCTAGGAATTATTTGAGTTGTCGAGAAGAGTCAGTGATCCACATCGACAATACATTACAAAAGTTTTGGTCACTGGAAGAATTGCCGTCTTCTAAAAAGTCTTTATCTACTGAACACAAGTTATGTGAAAAGCATTATAGAAGGACTACTCAGATCGTGCCTTCAGGTCGGTTTGAAGTAAGACTGCCGTTCAAATCAGATCCCAGTATCTTAGGCAACTCCTTTGATGTGGCTAAACGGCGGTTTTTATCGCTTGAAAAAAGATTGTCTCGTGACCCCGAGTTGCAGAAAATGTACTTGGAGTTCATGGAAGAGTACCTCTCCTTGGGTCACATGTCTACCACAGACAACACAATCCCCAAAACTCCACATTATTTCATTCCACATCAGTGTGTGTTGAGGCCTCAAAGCACGTCGACCAAGCTCCGCGTCGTTTTCGATGCGTCTTGTAAAACGTCCTCTCAGGTGGCCTTGAACGACATATTGATGGTCGGTCCTACGATACAGGATGAGCTGTATTCGACATTGCTCCGATTCAGACTACACAGGTACGCCTTGACAGCCGATGTTAAGAAGATGTATCGCCAAGTCTGGGTCGCTGATGCGGATAGACAATTCCAGCTCATAGTGTGGAGAAGAGACCCGTCTGAGTCCTTGAGAATATACCAGCTCAACACCGTAACATATGGGACTGGACCAGCCTCATTTTTGGCAATTCGGTGTTTGAAGAGGTTGAGTGAGTCTGCAAAACTCTCATTCCCTAAAGCTGCTGAAGTTATTGACTCCGACTTCTATGTCGATGACATGTTGACTGGTGCTGGTTGCGTAGAGGAGTTAAAGACAATTAAGTCTGATGTGGCTCAGGTTCTTCAAACCGCTGGGTTTGAATTGACTAAATGGTTTTCGAACTCACCTGAGGTCACCGCATCCGAGAGCACAGTTAAACCGATAACGATCTCGGACTCAGAGTCAACTAAGGCGTTAGGAATATCGTGGCTGCCACACGAAGACGTCTTTAAGTTCCAAATTGACACGTCAGTTATGGGTCTCCGAGCGACAAAACGGAACATCTTATCGGTGACATCAAAGCTGTTTGACCCCCTTGGCTTGTTAAGTCCTTTAGTAATTAAGGGAAAGATCCTACTGCAGGAGCTTTGGCTCAACAAGCTAGATTGGGATGAGTCAATTCCAATGAACTTGGAAACAGCATGGAACTTATTAAAAGACTCCTTGGGTCAGTTGGAGAAGATTACCATACCTCGATTTGTGCTTACTGATCCCATGTCACCGATTCAAGTACATGCCTTTGCCGACGCATCCATGAGAGCTTATGGAGCCTGCGTCTATATCCGTAGAAAGACTGCAGAAGGTTTCGAGGTCTCCTTGTTGACTGCAAAGTCGAAAGTAGCGCCACTCAAGACGAAAACGCTCCCAAGGCTTGAGTTATGTGCCGCTCACCTTCTAGCAGACCTTTGTCACCGAATCAAATCACTGCTCAAGGTTCCAATTGATAAAATGATATTCTGGTCAGATTCAGAAGTTACTCTTCATTGGATCAGATCCCACCGTTCGTCGTTGTCAACATTCGTTGCGAACCGAGTAGCGGAGATTCAAGAGTGGTCAAGTGAAGCTACGTGGCGGCATGTGCCAACAAAACAGAACCCAGCAGACATAGTTTCGAGAGGTTGTGACGTAGAGGAAATCGTGCAGTCGATCTGGTTTGGTGGACCAGAGTTCTTAAAGTTCGAAGAAGAGAGCTGGCCCAGAAATCCACACTTTCCGAAGAAGAGATACAGATGGAAAGTCGGAAGAAATCGGTCGGACTGACCGTCGCGGCCAAGCCAAATTACTTAGTGGATGTAATCGAGGGATACTCGTCACACCTCAAACTGCTAAGAGTGTTCGTTTTCGTGTTCCGATCCATCCGAAAATGCAAAGACAAAAGTCTCAACTTTGGAAAAATTCCGTCATCCGTAGAATACGACGAGGCGTTTCTAAAAATAGTCGAAATAACACAGAAAAATGAGTGTCAAGAAGATATTGAAAGGGTTCGTAAAGGCACCAAGTTAGGCCCCAGTCTTCAGCGCTTGAATCCCTTCATCCATGAAGAGGCTGGGACATGGTGCTCTTTTTCGTTGTTGCGAGTTGGGGGGCGACTAGTTAACGCTCCTATGTCATATAATGCCAAGTTTCCTTTGTTATTGACAAAACGCTCGCAGTTTGTGCAGACATACGTTCGCTATCTGCATCAAACGAATTTTCATGCCGGCCCACGAGCACTCGTGAGTATCCTTAGACAGCGCATTTGGATAGTGAATGCTCAGGCGGTCTGCAGGGCGACAGTTAGGTCGTGTATTCGTTGCTTTAAATGCAAGCCGCTACTCCAGACCCAAATGATGGGCAACTTACCCGCAGACCGGCTCCGTGCTCTCCGCCCATTTTCAGTATGTGGCGTTGATTTTTGTGGCCCAGTCTATACGACTCTGAAAATTCGTGGAAGGCCCCCTTATAAGTCCTACATAGCGTTATTCGTCTGTTTTGCGTCCAAGGCGGTTCATTTAGAAATTGTCTCCGATTTGACGACTAATTCCTTCTTGTTGGCATTCCAAAGGTTCGTCGGTCGTCGAGGATGTCCGCAACGCGTGAACTGCGACAACGCGACAAATTTCGTCGGAGCAAGTCGCCACTTCAGCGAACTGCGGAGGAAGATAGAGGCGGAAGCGGACGCGATACGCGAATTTGCGTCAAGAAGCGGGTGCGAGTTTGCCTTCATACCGCCTCGAGCACCGCACATGGGCGGACTTTGGGAGGCCGGTGTGAAGTCTGCCAAGGGCCTACTCCTACGGGCAGTCGGAAGCGCTCTCCTCACCGCAGAGGAGCTGGAGACCGTGCTGGTCGGGATCGAGGCGGTACTCAACTCGCGCCCGCTAGGACCCCTAAGCCCAGACCCAAGCGACGGAGACGCGCTGACTCCCGGGCACCTGCTGACAGTCGGGCCGCTCATCGCACCCCCAGCACCCAGGACCCCGGACCAGGAGGGTCTGAGCTGCTTAAAGCGATGGCGGCTTGTCTCGTCAGCCAGGCAAATGTTCTGGCAGCGATGGTCCCGGGAGTATGTGCTGGGATTACAAATAAGATGCAAGTGGCACCAGGAGGAGCCAAACATAAAGGAAGGCGACCTCGTAATCGTCGCCGAGGACAACCTGCCCCCTCAACAGTGGCTCCTCGGAAGGGTGGTCGGAACAACCGCCGGGCAGGACGGAAGGGTCAGAGTGGTCGAGCTAAGGACGAGCAGCGGAGCCACGTTCAGGAGGCCGATACACAAATTGGCGCTTCTGCCAATGGTTTGAAGCCTTCCAGGCCTTCAACGGGGCCGGTGTAGCGCCATTTGAATAATAATAATTGTTATTAGGATAGTATTTCATGAAGTCTAGTGTAAGTTAGGCTAGGGCAAAGCGGGAGCGCAATAAAAGCTCGCTCTCTCGCTCTTGGCGAATTCGCCCCGCTTTGCCACCGTAGGTAAGGTAGGCATAGAAGAAATTGTTAATATATGAAAAGAAGTCGAGAAAAATCCATGAAATCGAACGCACGCACCCCTTTTCTTTCGTCGTAATAAAATAAAATTGCAGTCACCCAAGAAATTTCGGTATTGTTATTTAGAAAAAATCTTCTAAAATTTCAGTAACATTAACAATATTTGGCAACACATAAGAAAACAAAAACGTTGAGTAATCTAATCCAATCTAAAAGATTGGTTTTAACCCTAATATAGAGAGCCTGTGAATAAGCAGAGCATGGTTCACAGAATCGAATGCCTTGCTGAAATCCGTAAAAACTACATTCGTCTGCAAACTTCTTTTAAAACCACGGTGGATTAGGTTAGAAACCTCAAGAACCTCTACATTTATACCCGATACACAGTCAGTATGGCTACAGTGAGTGACAATGTGTGCATGTGGGAGAGACAGAAAACAGGTTAACAGTCTTCAGGAGAGTGGCTAATCGGGTTAGGAAGAAATTTGCGAAACAAAGCACCGCCGCCACGGATAGACTGCTATCGGAGGCCAAGAGCAGAATTGGACAGAGTGAAGGCTTTTGCGACGAACCTGGAAGAAAGAATCTAGAAGAGCAAAGATGGTCTCTGAGAGGCTGAATGAGACCCACCAGATGAAGTTCCCTGTGGCGCCAATCACATAAAAGAAAACTCGGAGGACATAAAGAAACTCAAGTCCAAGAAGGCCCCTGGCGTCGACAGGATGGACAATGTTGTGATAAAAGTCTTACCAAACAGAGCGATACTATATCTGTTGCTAGTCTTTAACGCGACGCTAAGATTAGCATACTTCTTCAAAGCCTGAAGATGTACCCGCATAATCATGTTGATAAAGCCAGGAAAGCCCCCGGAAGACCTCAACAACCATAGATCAATTAGTGTCTTGCCGACTTTTGCCAAGACTTTTTGAGCTTGCCTGGATATATCGCAGGCCTTCGAACAGGTGTGACACGAGGAACTGCTCGCCAATATCAATGTGATGATCAACACCAGGCTATATGAAGTTATCAAAACCTGCCTGACGGAGAGAAACTTCCGTGTAGTCCAGGATGGTGCAACTTCTTTGTCCGAGACCATCAAATCAGGGCCGATGCTGTACTGCTTATTCACACACGTCATGCCAAAGCCCACTACGTTCCGAAGGAAACCAGTGCAGACCCTCAGGGTGGCAACATTTTCTGACGACATGGGCCGATGGGCCCGCCGATGGAACACACACTTTAAGAAAGGGATCTAGCCCGAGGGTCTTCCTGCTTGCGGGTTTCGTGGAGAACGTAGGAATCACACATACCTCGGAGTTACACTGGATGCACGTTTAACTTTTGACAGCCACATCCGTAGCGTGAGGAGCAAGCTGGTGGTAAGGTCCAGAAAATGTGCTAGCTACTTAAACAAAGCAACAAGCTCAATTTCAATAACAAAGTCATGATCTACCAAGCCATACCTACCCCTGCCTGGAAGTACGGCATTCAGGTGTATGGGATTGCCGCCAAGACTAACCTTGCGCTGAGTGGTATATCCGTAGCCGGAACGTGATCTTGACTTTCGGTATGAACCATCGCGGGAGTGTCTATGTGGTTTTAAAGTCCCCGAGAATCGAGGCGGTTTTAGCATAGGCCAGCAGTTCCCGTGGCGTCCTCTTGGAGGCTTATTCCAGTGATGCCAGCACTGGGGCGCCCAGGTATTTCCTCCTTGTCCTTGAGAGAGCCGGACAGTTGCAGATGAGATGTTCCAGGGTTTCGATTGCCCCAGGTTCATCACAGTTCCTACAACTGTGTCTGTTGGTGATGCCTAGCTTTGTTGCATGTGCGGCAGCCAGAGAGTGACCTGTTAGTATTCCCATTGCGCGCTCGATGGTGGCTACTTGTGAGTGTAGTGCCGTCTCCACTGATTTCCCTTTGGTTTAGGCGTGTTGGTTTGTTGACATCAGTCCCCCTACCTCATTCGTGATGTTAAAATCCAACAGCTTTTCTGGTTTTTTTAGTATTAAGGAGGTAAGGCTTATCGGTCTGTAATCCTTGGGACGTGGCTGCACTCTTTTGCCTTTGGGAGGAAGACAACTCTCGATGTTCTCCATTGGATACGGATATAGCCCGTACTTAGACATGCTGAGTATATTGCTGAGAGCCAGGGGGTGATAACCTCTTTGGTCAACTGCATCATGGCTGGGAATATCCCGTCCAGTCCTGGTGCTTTTATTCCCGCGAAGGAGTCTATGACGCGTGGTTGGACTTCTCTATATCGTCCGCAGATTTCACTGAGCCCGGATTCGCGAGCTTTGAAGTAACTGTTAAACTTTACCCAGTTTGTGCTCCGGGGGTTTCTATAGGCTGTTTTCTTCGAAGAGTGTTCGAATTCGCACTTGAACTGAATGTACTTATGGTCTGAGAAAGATAGTCTTTCGAGGACTCTCCAGTCAGATACCAAAGTACTTTTTCCAGTGACGAAAGGTTAGGTCTAGCACGTTTGATGAGGTGGGACCGACGAAGGTGTGTTCCTCCCCCACGTTTGCTACGTCTAAGTTAGGAGTGACTCACCTCTATCATTGAAGTCGGGGCTTCCTCACACATTGTGATGGGCGTTGGCGTCTGCGCCATTGAGAAGTTGGAGATTTTTGGAGCCGGCATTTGTCACCAGACTCCCAAGATCTTTCGGTGGAGCGGGCCTGTCGTGTGCAATATAGCAGGAAGCTGCCATAAGGCGCTTTTCCTCACTCTACAGCATCACTACCGTCAGGTCATCCGTACTGCAATGAGTCATAAGATGAGCATGGATTCCCTTCCGTACGAGTACGGCGGTTCCGTTCCTGCCTACCGATGTTGAGTAGAGAAGGTTTGAATTTGAGGACTTTAGTCCGGCCACAGAGTTGCCTGACGCAATCCACGGCTCCTGAACTAAACCTATGACAGCGGGCCCTTGCTCCATGGCAATGAGGAGCTCCGCCGATGCTATTTTGCTTGTATGGACGTTGAGCTGCAGCACCCTTAGTGTCATGGGTGGCTAACTCCACCTCACACGACGGGCTGACTATGATTGTCAGGTCTCCGTCCTTCTCTTCCTCCGAGTCGTCCATCGCAAGACCCTGGGCGGCCTCCACTATGGTCTCCAGACCTAAGTCTTTCGCGACCTCGCCTGCCTGGAGGGTGTACGAATCTTTGTCCTCGGGGTGGCGCTTTTTCAGCCGTAGGTATACGCTTCCTACGCCCCACACCATCTTCCCAAACTTTGGGTACAAAGTATCCTCTGCCTCCTTGCTGATCTGGAGTATCACATGCTGGCCTCCCTCGTTGGGGCACCTTCTGCACCAGCCGCTGCCGCGTTGAATCGCCGTTCAGCCATCCCGCTCCATGGAACTTGGCAGGGGAGATCTGGGGTCCTTCTCCTTTCGCAAGAAGAGTGACTCAACGAGCTGCGCATGGACTAACTTCCACTGCACCGCCGTCATCTTCGCATTCTCGTCGATGCGGTCAATCAGGGCCACAATGAGATGTCTCTTGGACACTTCGCTCAGGGTCTTCTGTCTCGGCTTCCTCGTCTTCGGCAGGGGGGTGGCCACCTTAGGCCCGCGTTGCCGCTTGCTCGCCGGAGTGTCTTTGGCAGCACTCTCGATCGAACATCCCCTCCACCTTTTTGGCTAATCCACTTCTATATAAACGCAAGCACGCCCATGGCCTTATTAACCATTGTAGAAATGTGTTCAGAAAAGTTTAACTTGGAATCTAACATAACACCCAGATCATCCACAAGGGTAATTCTCTCAAGAGAACCACCAAATATTGTATAGTGAGCCAACAAGGGGCTAGAACGATGAAATGTCATAACTTTGCATTTCGAGGCATTAAGGTGTAACAAGTTTGCAAATCACCATGACTGAAAGTGATTGAGATCTGATTGCAAGCGAGAATGAAATGCAATGTACTTATACTGCTTAGAGTTTAATATCAACCGCATACATAAGACCTCAAGAGTATGTCAATATCGAAGATAAGTCATTAATATAGTATGGTACTCCCGAAGAAACCTTTACTGGTAAAGAGAGAGAGTTTTTGAAGAGGACTCTTTGAGACCTAGAACAAAGACAGCTAGAAATCCATCTCAGGAGGTTGGGCGGAAACCCTAAAAGGCCAAGTTTATGCGCTAAAAGGGAATGGTTTACAGAGTCGAATGCTTTACTAAAGTCGGTGTAAATAACATCCGTCTGTAAGTTACCTTGAAAGCCTTTAATAATGAAAGAGGTAAACTCTAGCAAGTTCGTGGTGGTTGATCGCCGCCTTATAAGTCCATGCTGAGCTGGAGATATAAGTAACTTGCAGAGATGTTGCAAGTGCGAAGTTAAAACCTTCTGAATCATTTTGGGAATAGCGGATAACTTTGTTATACCTCTGTAATTTTTTACGTCAGACTTGCTACCTTTTTTATGGAGAGGAATTATAAACGATTCCATCCAGATCGGGGGGAAGCAAGAAGAATAAAAGAGAAGTTAGTTTTTTGGGAAGGTGGAAGCAAGACGGGAAGTTGAGCAAGAGGAAGTTGAGGTTGGGGGTGGCACACTGGAAAGATTTGTAAGGGATATGGGGGGCCTATTCTTCTTCTTAGCCTTAAACTCCTTCACCACCAAATGCTCCGGCCAAAATTTGGCGGAGCAAATGGTGTCAAATTGAGTTGGGGAAATGCTTATCTTAAGCGAGGCTATCTCCCCCTGGCATATGAGAAGTTAAACTTCTCCACCTTTAAACCCAAGGCTTTTATTTTGCTTTGAATAGAATCAATTACATCATTAGATGTGAGGTCATGGGCCAGCCGGGAAACAAAACTTGTCGTTTTGTTGGGACACCTACCACTACAAGTCTTGCAGATCCCGCGGAGTGACCCTTTTACGCCTCGGAGACTCATTCAGCAGTTGCAGACTGACAAATTGAGACTCCATGGCTAGGAGCCGATCGTACTGTTTTTTAAGGGCAGAAAATCCTAAGCATTTTGCGTGCACTACGCTGTCGCAGAGCCAGCAGGGGACATTCGGCTGATCGTGGGTGATCTGCTTCTTACAAGTTTTTTTGGCGCAGACCACAGCGTATTCCATTTTTATTATTTATTTATTTAAAAATTTGCAACAAAATATTTCAAACAAATTGGTATCAGACCAATGTGCCAGCCAACGCGGAATTATTAAAAACGAGGGGGAACGTTGTGAGTTGCTGCGGACACCGCAACTCTACAGTTATACCCGATACTAAGTCAGTATGGCTCTCCTCCGGCAGACGCCGCTAATATTAAACGACACGACAAAGAGTGCGTGCGAGAGAGACAGAAAATCAGTCTGAGCGTGACGTCGGGCGCTGCGTAGCCACTGCAAATTGATTTGTTCCTTTTGGCTATAAAAAT